CCACGGATTTTCTGATAGGTGATGTAGTAAACTATTAGGGTTGTACAAACCTGTTTGTTTACCTACCAGAAAGTCCGTGGAACCCGGCAACCCGTTGGTGCAGCAGAAACGTTTGTGAGAATGAACGGATCTGGCCTCACACGCGTGAGCACCCCGAGGGTGATCCCTCAGGAGAGGCCTTTCCGTTCAGGGCTTAATCTGTAATTAAGCCTAACAAGTAATAAATGAAATTTATTATTTCCACAGACTTTCTGGTATTTATGATTAGGTAAACAAACGGGTTTGTACAATCCTAATAATTTAATTTCTTCAAATAATATGCTATCAAACTCCATCTCAGTAAATTATTTTAATGGATAATTTTTATTCTCAAATATTTTTTATACACATATCAAGTTCATGCCTTCAAGCATTGTCGCCAATACTCTCGGCACATGAGAGTTCTTTCTAATCTTGCCTCAGCAGGCACTCATGATTATACTATATAGCATAAATATGCCTTTGGGACTACATAACGGTTCAAGGAGTCTGGTAGCAATTACATGTCAAGTACTTACATCAAGAACAGCAGTACAATAAGAGAATGCTTCTGGTAGATAAACACCCATAACATACATTCCATACAATGTACTCACGCCTATAGAGCCATCAATGATTTCACCAATAAACCATGGACCTACAATAACAAATACAGACATTGTGCCAGTCAGGCGAGACATAAAACACGCTTTGTATATATCTTTGGAAATATTACTTGAAACAAGCAATGCATGGCACAGTCCTTGTTAGTTTATAGTATATAGTTTTGTTTATAGGAATATGATTATGATGGTTGTTTAACATTAAAATGATTAACATTTGTAACTGATCGTCAAGTGAGTATTGAGAGATATTGCTCTGGAACAGCCAGGCATGGCACAGTGCCCGTTAGTTATCAAATTTAAGATATATAGTTTTGTTTATAGTAATATAGCTGGAATATAACCATGTCAGGAATATGATTTTTTAACATTAAAATGAATGACATTTGTATCTGATCGTCAAACAAGTACTTGTCCATATTGAGAGATATTGCTCTGGAACAGCATTCAAAATCAGCCATTTTGAATACATGTATATATCTATAACACGATGTATAACGAATATATAAAATTTGAATATAATCAGTCAAAACAAGTCAGACATATGGGTCTGGAAACCCATTCATTAAAACAAAATGGCCGCCAGACAGCCATTTTGAATCTGATCTGAAAAATAAAATGATGTGCATCAGAAACCTGTAATGTCTAATATATGTACCAAGTTTGAACGAAATCCATCCATAAATGCCAGAAGTGCTTGATATTTGATGATTTTTTTAGCACAAAAATGGCCACCATTCGGCCATTTTAAATAGGATCGTCAAACCAATATATCTGTCTATCTATGACATGATGTATAATGAATATTTAAAATTTGAACATAATCAGTGGAAGCAAGTCGGAGATATGGCTCTAGAAGCCCATTCATTAAAACAAAATGGCCGCCAGACAGCCATTTTGAATCTGATCTGAAAAATAAAATGATGTGCATCAGAAACCTGTAATGTCTAATATATGTACCAAGTTTGAACAAAATCCATCTATAAATGCCAGAAATGCTTGATATTTGATGATTTTTTTAGCACAAAAATGGCCACCATTCGGCCATTTTGAATAGGATCGTCAAACCAATATATCTGTATATCTACGACATGATCTTTAATAAATATTTAAAATTTGAACATAATCAGTCAAAGCAAGTCAGAGATATGGCACTAGAACCACATTCATTAAAACAAAAAGGTCCTATAATGTCTAACGTATATACCATTTTCAAACAAAGCCATCTGTAAACAGTGAAAAAATGCTTGATTTTGATGATTTTTAGCACAAATATGGCCGCCATTCAGCCATCTTAAATCAGATTGTGCATATGTATAATATCATGTATGATGTATGTGTGAAGTTTGATTGTGATTGGTCCAGGCATTTCTAAGATACAGGTCCGCACGCACGCACACACGGACAGACACACGGACAAACGGGGACTAATAAGTTATGGGGTACTTGCCTAATGATGTGTAGACGCCAGAAACCAGTAATGGATAGTATAAACTTTTGGTGTGCGTTAACATGATAATATCTCTCGTCAATCCTCTATACGGTAGACCTGAAATTAATAACACTGTATTAGCATGTATATTTCTTTAAATTTTACTGCACAGCTTTAATTTATTATTAATATAGTAAATATTATAGTTTCATTTACCTTGATTGATTTGATTCTTTGTAAATCTTTTGATGATTGGTAATGACAAAACACCGATAAAATAAACAACAACAAATAGTAGTTTCATCTGGAAATACAGAATGACAATGTAAGGTGGTGTTCTATGTATAATAGAAGTGAAGATAACAATCTAGATCATTGACACCATGTACATATTATGTGTGTGTGCCAAAACTATTCATATACTGGTACTGAAACTATTTTATCTTCTTCTTGAAAATAATGCAAAACAAATAATGACAATCACACAGACCCTGTGTTGTTTTTAACTATGTGTTCAGTACAAGTTGTGTGTACATATCTTAACCAAAAGAGACTCCATGCATAATTTGTACAGTGTATATCAATGCAGTATGACTGGAAGTGCCCTTGACTGACAAAATCTGGTTATATCTATAATCACACACACAGACAGAGAATCTAACATGGATACCATAAAAAATGATCAACTATTTTTGTTCAAATCATAAAACAAACATATGACGTGCACCAGTAACCGAGTATGTATGTACACAGACATGTTCATCTTAACTGATTCCGGGCACATTTACAGACTGTGATTTTAGACAAAATGACCATCAATTCTAATCAAATCACACAAACCATGGCATTACCTATGAGTATACTACTTCAACTGAACCTGGCAACTGAACCTACTTCAACATTCAACTGAACCTGGCCATATATTAGTGAGGGATAAGCATGAACATGAATAAAATAGTCGGCCATTGTTTGAATCTTGAAAACGTGATATGCATGATCCTGGTTTGAATAAAATAGTCGGCCATTGTTTGAATCTTGAAAACGTGATATGCATGATCCTGGTTTGAATAAAATAGTCGGCCATTGTTTGAATCTTGAAAACGTGATATGCATGATCCTGGTTTGAATAAAATAGTCGGCCATTGTTTAAATCTTGAAAACGTGATATGCATGATCCTGGTTTGAATAAAATAGTCGGCCATTGTTTGAATCTTGAAAACGTGATATGCATGATCCTGGTTTGAATAAAATAGTCGGCCCTTGTTTGAATCTTGAAAACGTGATATGCATGATCCTGGTTTGAATAAAATAGTCGGCCATTGTTTGAATCTTGAAAACGTGATATGCATGATCCTGGTTTGAATAAAATAGTCGGCCATTGTTTGAATCTTGAAAACGTGATATGCATGATCCTGGTTTGAATAAAATAGTCGGCCATTGTTTGAATCTTGAAAACGTGATATGTATGATCCTGGTTTGAATAAAATGTTCAGCGTCGAGAAAAACTTTAGGACATGTTTACAGACAGCAATTTTAGGATTCCAGAAAAATGGCCATCTTTCTCAAAATAACACATCCTATGGTATCAAAGAGTATAAGTAGTGGATTATAGTGAGGAATCTATATATATGAATAAAAACTAATTGGCCACCGATAACCTTTTTTTTGTTCAGATCCCCCCAAAAATATGACATGCACCTGTTACCCATACAAAGTTGAAATGAAATTGCTCTGCTCATATCTGAGGAACAATTTCGGACCTGTTTAAGCATCAGAATTTAGCAAATATCAGGATTAAAATGGTTGTCTGTCAGCCATATATGGTCAAATGGTTTGTGAACTCAAATTAATGGCTACAAATTTTGTACATTAGAAATTGGGACTAAAAGGTCTGACTTAAAAATTGGTTTAGATATAAATGACAATGCAATTATACCCAAACCTTGGCTTCATCTATCTCTATGAGGCAACCCTACGGCCACCATGGCTATATCTAACTTGACCACAAGTACATGTATATTGATCAATAGGGCCACACTACTGCTAGTATGGCCTTAATTAGCTCCACTTTACATTGGTCAATACAGAAACACTACAGTCCCACATTCTTTGTTGTTTTCTAACATTACTGAATGAATGCAAAGTATCTCTCAAAGACAATTTTATTAGTGGTCTTTACTTACTATTAGCACCCAGTCTCCAAGTAAAATGACAGACGGAATTAACCACTGTAGTGGACGACTGCCATCAAGTGAAAAATAGTATTTTATATTTGACTCATGACCTCCAGTATCCTATGAATGTAATAATTTCACTTAATTTATTCAGCGATACATAATATGGCTTTTGAACAAGTTGACATAGTTGCCTTTCTTTATTATTTGAAATGGCACACTTTCTATAGACGTAAACACAAACAAAATGGTCGCCATATATTCAAACTTAATTGCATAGTCCCTGTTTTTTTTATAGTTTCGGCAAATTCAAATCGTTAAAATTTCACAAATAGTCCACAAAAGGGCATGAGAATTGATCTTAGTATGCAAACTTAAAAGTATTATATATACCGGGTATATTTAAAAAAATGATATAATAAATATGTCTGCTTGCTGAATCGGCCATAAAATAACAGTACTAACCTTTGCTGTGACACTTATTGTATGAAGGCCTGATTGATACTTCATTGGTTGCCATGGTAACACATACAATGGACCATCTACATGTGTGCCTGCTCCTAAGGGTTGCCCATCAATTTCAACAAGGGTTGATAAAATGGGTTCTGGAGAAAATACTAGAAACCTAGAGAAATAGATGGATTCTACAATGTCAAACAAGATAATACTGGCTCTCTGAGTTATCATTAGAGGGCGCTATATATGGAATGTCACTTCTAGATAACATTCAACACTATGGAATTATTAGTGACAAAACAATAGACAATAATTAAAAAAGTGAATAAATAGGCAAATATTAATATTTTGAAAATAATAATTGTTTATATGTTAGAAGAAATTTGATTTAACTTCAAATGGTATGCTGTTCGATAATTTAGACCCAGTGTATGAGATTGAGTATAGGCTGACTGCAGTTCAGAATGTAGTGCGCAAGTTTTGCCTTTGTTGCTGTCACGCATTATGAGAATGGTCAAGAAGTTTGAAATATTCAAGTACAAAATAGCATCAGCAAAATTGAAAAAAAATATAGATAATTGGGAAGACTGTTAAAGTATAGTGAAAACCATTTAGGACCTCGGACAGAACCTTGGGGAGTCTAAAACTGATATGTGCTTTAGGCAAGGATAAACTGTTACAGTGAACAAATTGAGATTGTTGATATAAATAATCTGAAATCTGAATCTATAATGCTGTACTTTAGACAATGGAATATTGTAGTTGATTGAACCAAATGCTTTGCTAAAATCTATAAATATGCCAAGTAAACAATTATCTTGATCTATAGTTTGTGTAATCTGATTTACTAAATTAATTAACAATGAATTTGTGCTGTGTTGTTATTTTCATAGCATTAATAGTGTAAAATACTAGCGCCAATTAAATGCATTTTAGTAGTATTGTGGTTGGTCACACCCACAGCAGCACTGTAAAATGTATATCACATGGTCACGCAGAGTAGCACTGTGATAGGCCACAGTATATCACATGGTTACACAATGTAACATTATAATTGGCCATAGTATATCACATGGTCACACAAAGCACTGTGATTGGACATAGTAAATCACATGGTCACAAAAAGCACTATGATTGGTCACAATATATCACATGGTCAAGTATTACTCTGATTGGGTACAGTATAGCATGCAGACTTACCGAATATGAGTGGAATACAGCATTCTACCAATTGGTTCATGTTGGGCAGATAAAAACCTAGCATCTTTGGGATTGGTCACTAAAATAATTGGCCACTGTCCAAATTTAGTGTCCACAAAAGAAAGTAAATCATGGTCAAATGCCATGACTCTATACCTGGGAGGAAATAGAAAAAATGTGTTAGTCTAGTCAGTTAAATAGCATGCCTGGGTTTATGTGTCAGTAGTGGGGTTTAACACATATTTTTGTAAATTTGGCTTTTTTGTTTTGAAAACACTATTTCTGTCAGGCAGCATTGCTCAAATTATTCAACAAACTTTTGGAAAATATTGATAATGGTCTTGTGAATTGTTTTTTTATTTCTTGTTATATTTTTTTTATTTGAAATGTTTATTTTTATGTTTTATTCCTATTTATTTTTCATGATAGTGGATTGTAATGTACATGCTGCCTGTGCTTGTGGTGTGTGAGTGTGAGGGGGGATGTGGGGGGGGGGGGGTTCTTGGGTGGATATGGGTGTAATCTGGTGGGTGTGTGTAATAGCATTTGACTATATGTTCAATTTATGATGAATAATGTCAATAAAGGTATTATTTATTTTCTCAGACCGCAACAGTATACAGTAGTATGAATTTGTTGTCTTTGATAAAGCAGTTATACTTACACTCTGTTGTCTTTCCAGTCTGCCACTTCTAATTCTAATAAACCTGTTTTCTGCTGCACTTCCATGTGAGCAACTATACTGTGTAAATGACCACACAGATATGCAATACCGGATCTGTAACAGCAATAAATATTAAAACATGCTGAAAATGATAATCCTCAAGTCTGCAAAAAGACCAGGTAGTGATCCAAATGAACTCACCTCATAAGATGAGTTAGACCAGGTAGTGATGCATATGAACTCACCTCATAAGATGAGTTAGACCAGGTAGTGATCCAAATGAACTCACCTCATAAGATGAGTTAGACCAGGTAGTAATCCAAATGAACTCACCTCATAAGATGAGTTAGACCAGGTAGTGATGCATATGAACTCACCTCATAAGATGAGTTAGACCAGGTAGTGATCCAAATGAACTCACCTCATAAGATGAGTTAGACCAGGTAGTGATCCAAATGAACTCACCTCATAAGATGAGTTAGACCAGGTAGTGATGCATATGAACTCACCTCATAAGATGAGTTAGACCAGGTAGTGATCCAAATGAACTCACCTCATAAGATGAGTTAGACCAGGTAGTGATGCAAATGAACTTGCCTCATAAGATGAGTTAGACCAGGTAGTGATGCAAATGAACTCACCTCATAAGATGAGTTAGACCAGGTGGTGATCCAAATGAACTCACCTCATTAGATGAGTCAGACCAGGTGATGATGCATATGAACTCATCTCATAAGATGAGTTAGACCTGGTAGTGATGCAAATGAACTTGCCTCATAAGATGAGTTAGACCAGGTAGTGACGCAAATGAACTTGCCTCATAAGATGAGTTAGACCAGGTGGTGATGCAAATGAACTCACCTCATAAGATGAGTTAGACCAGGTGGTGATGCAAATGAACTCACCTCATAAGATGAGTGTAATGATTTGAGGCTATGACGTTTAGTTTAGTTATTTGCATAATGATATTGATACATTGTATGGAACATCTGGTGAGTATTTAGACTCATTTCCAGGCCTAGCAGTTGAGCAATAAACACCTTGGCTACAAGTGCTCCTCTCCAGTGTGTTATTCTCCTCCCGGATCTGGTGACCAATACTCACTTGGTTCACTCTACACCTTGAGAAGTCAGTTTACAATGAGTTAGTTAGACCAGGTAGTGATGCAAATGAACTCACCTCATAGGATGAGTCAGACCAGGTGGTGATCCAAATGAACTCACCTCATAAGATGTGTCAGACCAGGCGGTGATCCAAATGAACTCACCTCATAAGATGAGTCAGACCAGGTGATGATGCATATGAACTCACCTCATAAGATGAGTTAGACCAGGTGGTGATGCAAATGAACTCACCTCATTAGATGAGCCAAACCAGGTGGTGATCCAAATGAACTCACCTCATAAGATGAGTTAGACCAGGTGGTGATGCAAATGAACTCACCTCATAAGATGAGCCAAACCAGGTGGTGATGCAAATGAACTCACCTCATTAGATGAGCCAAACCAGGTGGTGATGCAAATACTGTTCCTGT